AATAAATTTGATATTTTAAATTATAAATAAAAATCGTTATTAATTATCAGATATCAATTATTAGTTATTAATTATATTAAAAAAGCTAATCCAAATAACCTCTTAAATTTAATTATGATCGAATTCGAGTATTGTTTTTAAGCCAATCCCTGTAAATTATATTTTGCTTTTCTTTTTTTTGGTTTTCAAAATATAAAAAATATATTTTTTAATTATTTGTTAATTAATCTATTAAATTTGTTCATATAAGTTCAAGATGATGTTAAAACGCAAATCATCTATATTCTATTATACCATAAAACTCAATATTAAAATTAATTGAATTTGAGCTCAAACATGAATTTGAATATTTTGTTTGATGAGTTGAGGTCAAGTAAAGTACAAATTCTCCTTTTTTTTTTTTGATGAGTCCAATCTGAGCTTGAAAAGTAAAGCTCGACAAAATTCTTGAACAAGTCATGCCTAAGTCTGATTGTTTACAAGCTTTACTCGGCTAGTTTTGACAATGAACGTTTGTTTGGTTTAGATACTTGATTTATAACTTTTTAAAAATTTATGGGTGCAACAAATTTATCTTAAACTTAAAGGGTTTTGTGGTAATTTGTGAATCCATCGTCAAATCCTTGGTTAGTAGGTTTCATAATTTGTTATCATGAAAAGAAGCACATAATAATAACCTAATTTTTATTACTACAAGTAACAACTTTAACAAATTCCTTTTATGGATTTCGATAGGACCATCATGACCAAATTATATGGTAGTAAAACAATTGTCTTGTCATTTTCTCTTGTTCTCTCTTTAATTCAAAATTTCCAAAGTGGTCGCACTTCTTTTTATAAAAATGTTTTTCTTTTGTATTTCAATTCGTCTCCTTCGTTACCTATGAGGCCTTCGCTAAGGATGCAAATGTTGAGGCCTAACAACTCCCGTGCGTGAGGGATTTCCACCACCCCCTTTTTTCTGTTTTTAATATTATGTGTATTATACTATTGTTCTTATGTTATTGAATTTGCACTTGTATTAACTTGGTGTAGGCACATAAAAAAATTCATATTCTCTATTTTATGTAAATTTAATAAAATTACATAGTTTAATTTTTGAGAGAGTGATTAATTTTGTTGATGTAACAAGTTTTGGTCTTGTTTCTTGAGGAATGACTTTTAGTAACCAAACAACTAGTTGAGGTTTAGCCAAAGGTTATATTATGTTTTGTTTATACAGAAAAATGGTTAGAGAAGATAAGAATTAGTTAGCGGCATAATTTTTTTTTTTTGAACCTCTGAAAAATTGGTTAGTGGCATACTGACACACCATAATACATCTCATTTTTATATGGTAAGAGAAGATAAGAATTAATGATGGCATAATAAAGTTAAAAGAATATTCTAAATCCACATTACCTAACATCATAATCAAGGGTTAAAAAACAACGAGGAGTTCATTGAGCAAAAAAGAAAGAGAGAAAGAGATCGGTTCTCCTCATCTTTCTCAATTATCTTTCTCAATTATCTTTCTCAATCAGACAAAGTAGTTAATAAAACTAAAAACATAAAGCACATATTAGTATAATAAAAATAATGATTGGTTCTCCACCACTTTCTCAATTAGATGAAAGTAGGTTTTTTATTTTTATTTTTATTTTTATAGCACTAATAAAAGGGTACAAGAGTTAGGTAGGGGCAAAATGAGGATAAAAACAAATTCCAGGCCCATCATTGCCTAACATCTCAATCAAAAATTCAAAACGAAGGGGGAATACGTTAATATGATAGAATTTTGTACAATACAAGTAGAAACTTTAAAGATAAAACTTAAATAGTGGTTAGATGCATTGATCATTCCAGCAAAAAATAATAATAATAATTTGTGGGTTTAATTGATGATCGGCCAAATTTGACAATGTACATCTGCTTGGTTAAGGGGGAATTAATTGATTGTTAAGTTTTAAAATTTATGGGGAAAATTAAAGGTGCAGATGAGGGAACGAATTTCTGTTTTTTTTTTCTTTTCTAAGAAATGAATATTTTATTTTGTTTATTTAAAGATTTATTGGATGGTGATAATAACATAATAAATAGTAATTTTAATTAAAATAGGATAAATTTTATATTTTTAAAAGATAAAATGATAAAATTAACATCTTTAAATAAAAAATTATGAAAGTTTATTATCTAATTTAAAATTTGAAAATTTTGTATCCTTAATTATAAAAAAAATGACAGTTTATATTTTTATCTAAACATTTTTTCAAAATTTATAGATATTTATCTTTAGATTGTGTTTGGTATGGAGAAAGTTTTTCCTGTTGGAAACATTTTATGTGTACTATTGCTAATTACATTTAGTTTTTAAAATTGAGTTAAATGAAAAATTAATAAGGTCCAATAAAATTATGTGATTTAAGTGAGTTTAAATTTTATTTTAATATTATATAGTGTGATACGAATAAATGTATAACCTAAAGGTGAATTAAAAGTGAATTGCTTAATGAAGTTATTTAGAAGATTATTATCATTATGAGTTATCTCGTCTTTTATTCAAATTACCCTAATTCTATAAATAATAAAATTACAAATTATCAGTTGTTGTTATACAAAAAATTAAATAAAGAATAAAAGATCCAAACTTTAATGTTAATCATAATTATTTTGCAAAATGAAATTCTGATGATCCTCAATAAGCTTTTTTCACTTTTTTAAAACCTATAATTTATATCAAATTATTAATATTAAATTTTAATCCTATATATCACTGATTTTACATATTAACTCAAAATTTATTGTGCATGCATAACAAAAGAAACGAAGATAAAAAAGACGTCGTAATGGTCATCATTCTCTAACAAGAGACTTCTCATGTAATTTTAAAGGCATAGAATTTGAGTTCCACTATAATGTTAAAAAAAAAAAGGAAAAAAAAAAGGAGACGAAGGTCAAAGAAAGAAGTCATGCCAAGTTGTCAAAAATCGCCTAGTCATGCCCAGCCAATGCCAAGTAAGCTGAGGTTAACGGGGCAATGAAAAGCAAGACGGAAAGATGACGTCATCATCATAAGAAGGGTTAATTTATGGGTTTTGATAAGGTAAGACGAACAATTTGCACTACTTTTTAAATGGAAGAACTGACAGATCACAACAATCAAAGTGAAGATTCTGAGTTGCACCTTCTCGGCTTCTCCTAGAATCTTTCTGGCCCGGACCACGTCAGTCCGTTAATTATGATTCATGATCACAAAAGATAAGTCACTTTATTATTATTAAAAATAAATAAGACAGGGCTTACTTTGGAAATTAGTTTAATCCATATTTTCTCATAAAGCAGCCTAAAATTAATGAAAAAGTTGTTAATAAGTTATATAACATAAAGCATATATATGCCATGATTAATTTGACATGACTTCAATTTCATACTTCATTGGATCCCATTTTGCCTCCACAATTGGGGAAGTAATTAAAGTCACATGATAATTTTTTATCACATTTGATCCACAAATATGAAGTTTGTGAAAATTATGTATGTGAAATTCAATATAAAATTTATATTTAATTTAATAAAAAAAATTTAATAAAAATTTTATATTTTAATAAGTTTTCTAATAAAATTTTTTAAAATAATATTAATCTCTAATCAAATAGACTTTTAAATTTAATATTCATTTTATTTATTAATAAAAAAAATTTTAATAAAAATTTTATATTTTAATAAGTTTTCTAATAAAATTTTTTAAAATAATATTAATCTCTAATCAAATAGGCGGTTAAATTTAATATTCATTTTATTTATCAAAAAAAAAATTCGATGGCTCCTAATCTCCAAAAAAAAAAGAGTAGCTGGGCTCCCTTAAACGGAATTAGAAAAGGAGTCTCCAATGGAGTCCACGGAAGATACCCTTACAACTTAACTTCTAACCCTTTTTTTTTTTCTAACAGATATAAATTTAGGGAGGAGGGATTTTAACTTGGGCACCTAGGAGTGGAGACGCACCTTCCATAAAATTTATAGTAATAGGCGTTTTATGTTAAGTGCTTTAATTTTTAATTAAAATGTGCACCTTTTATAAGATTTATAGCTGATTGATTTTCTTGGCCAGTTGCCTTAACTTTTACCTAAACTATACACTTCCCAATTACTGGTGTTCAAGTCCATTAAAAATCACATTCGGCCTCCACAAATGCTCCAAAAATACTTCAGATCAAAAGAAAAATGAAAATAAACGCGCACAACTCCCAATGTCAAAAAGAAAGTGATATGACATAAACTTATTTGCTGTGATTAATTTTAATCCAAAGTAATGACAAAAAAGTATGGGCTATGAATTTGGATCCCCGCTTTAAGTTTAATAATTTATTTTTAAATTTTAGTGTTTAAATTTAATTAATTAAAAATTTTATTTTTAATAATTATTTAAAAAGTATTTTTTCCCCTTAATTTTTAATTAAAATGTGCACCTTTCGTAATATTTATAATTGATTGACTTTCTTGATCGGTTGCCTTAACTTTTACCTAAACTACACACTTCCTATAATGACTGGTGTTCAAGTCCATTATATATTACATTCGGCCTCCACAATATCTCCAAAAATACTTCAGATCAAAAGTTAAAAAAAAAAAGAGCGCACAACTCTGAATGTCGAAAAGAAAGTGATATGACATAAAAGTATTTGCTGTGATTAATTCTAATCCAAAGTAATGAACCAAAGGTATGTGCTAAGAGCTTGAATTTCTGCTTCAGATTTAACTATTCGTTTTAGAATTGGAGTGTTTGAATTTAATTAGTTAGAAATTTGATTTTTA